ACACACACACACACACACACACACACACACACACACACACACACACACACACACACACACACACACACACACACACACACACGCCTATCAGACGTGAGCCCCTCATCACGCCGAGATAGGCTAAGCGAGCCAGGGCGCATCGTGGATTATTTAGTCCTTCTTTTCCCCCTCGAACGACTGTGGCCTCTGAAGCTTGGCTACTAACACTCAATGCAAAACAATCATATTTTAATGTAATTAAATCTAATGTCATCTTATCATCAGTCTGTAACGCTGTTAGTCAAATCTCACGACGCACGCTGATGTCGACGTTTTTATATTTTAAACACCAAATTTAAATTTTAATCTGTGCCAGCAAACCAAAGTAACAGGGTTCAATAGTCTTCATATATTTTTAGTAAAAATTCCTCCTGCCGTTTTTTCCCAGCAAAAACTCCCTTCCTCTATTTCTATCCTAAACTTTTACGCACTGAGTTCTCAGACAGCCCGTGGGGCTTTTTCTGCAGCCAGACAAACTGGGGCTCACCTTTGCCGTCGATCTCGGCTTTCCCGTTCAATAAATCAACAGAAGCGGAGAAAAGTCCAGTCCCAGTCTCAGTATCCTTTCAACAGAGCTGTCCGTGTCGCAGTCAGCCAGACGCTTTAGTAAAATCCAGCACGGGGTGGCAGAATAGCTCCGGGCAGGTACGCATGGCGTGTACCACAGCCGTGTCGGTCAGTGAGTGCGAGCGGGACAGAGCAAGGTTGGGCTAGAGGAGAATGAGTGAGTGAGCCTGAATGAGGGCAGACTCAGCTCTAAAGTACCCCTGCCCCACTTTGATCTCACTGCTGATGTCAGACCTGCATTAGCATAAGAAAGCAGTCCAGAGCCGAGCATGCAGGGCTACTGGGAAATGTTGCTGGACTGAAAGTGCTCCGGAACAGGGAGCTGGACTGACTTACAGCGTGTCACTGATGATGAATGGTCCACGCGCTGATCTTATTTTAAAAGCATTTACAGTGTCTCAGGCTTGTCATGCTCCCGCGACATCCCGGTATTCCTGAAGCTTTTTAAACACAGCCTGTGGCTGCTCATCAAGACCCGCGGAAATATTCTCACCTCAAATATTAGACTTCATATGAACGGATTGTTTGTGGATTCTTATTCTCATGCCACAATCCTGCTCTGTTCTCATGTTTTAAAGTAATAAAGTATTTTATTATGACTTATTTATTATATTAAATGTGGTTAAAAATAGAAAGAAATTCAAAAACTGTGTCAAACTGGTGTGTGGACACTTATTTTCTATACTTGTCTCATGCTTTGCATCAAAGTCAAGTCACCAACTATACAACAGGGGCATGGCAGGAGAATATCTCTGTTTGGTCCTTCTCTCTTTTTTGTGTTTGTATTAAATCTTGGAAATAATGGAATAAAGGAAATGTCCTAGCGGTGGACACGCCCTGACGTGAAATATAAATCTTCACTAAAACTTTTAAATTGGAACCAGTGCGAAAGGTAAACGATGCTCTGAATTCACAGTGACAGCTTTTATTTATTAAGAGTGGATCCCATAAAAATGTTACAATATATATACTATAATACAGTGTGACATGAGATTGTGGTACTCACACACACACATATGCACACAGACAGAAATGCGCTCCAGCTTATATTATTTGAGAAAAAAAATCAAATAAAAGCCTCCTAAAATTACAGCAAGTTTTCCCTCACTGGCTGATTTCCTTAAATCTTAACCACACTGAAAGTGATACGTCGCCGAGCCAGCTGTGGGAAAGTAATGTATAGTTTCCCTGAGACTCTCCTGCACCTCCAACGCCCAGACAAGAAGCCAGTACTGAGCTGTTGTCCAGACCTTGACCTTGCAACTGGTGCAGCTAAGCACGGCTGGTCTGGTGCACTGCAGGGAACCGCAGGCCAGGTGCTGTCATGCTGTCCTCTGGAGCATTTACAGACCACAACGAGCCCTCTGCCTCTGATCTCTGTAAAAATCTGTTTGCCAAACAGATCAAGGCATACGATAGCGTTGCATGTATGTATCTTTTTCACGGGACAAAGGTATGCGATCCTCGGTTCCAAGAGAGATTCGATGTGTTTTACATGGCAGTCAACTGTGAATGGGCACGGCGTCGGGGTGTGTGTGGGAGTCGTGGAGCTTCCAGCAGGACCGGTCCCGTCTACAGAGACATTTTACACACAGGCTCTCCATTCCTGAGTTTAAGATCAACACGCCGGCCCTTGATCTCCACATCTTGTCTTCCAAGCAACTCTTCTGACTACAGAAGAGAGCCACTGGAGTTCATGATAGCGAAATAACTCATGTCATATACCAGCAGAGGAATGACAGATAATCTACATCTCAGATGAAAACCAGCTTTACGCAGATAGGGTTACACTTACACGCTCTTTTTTTTTTTTTTAACTGTCACTGTAATCAGCTTTAGACATGCTGGGATCACTGGTGAGCACCAGTGTCTATGGAAATACCTTCTATAATTACAGTTCCCAAAACCGGCATTTGTATGGCACTGTTGTTTAACCCAGTGGTTTGAGCCTGAGCTTGGGAGTTTATTTTCAAATGAGCCAAGCAGCAAATGAGATAAATCCCCTCAGATTACAGTGAAATACTTCAAAAAACCAAAACATGTAAAATGTGCATAAATAGAAAGGGTCATTTATCAGCCGCGGAGAAATATTGTATGTGCAAATTGCACATCGCAGTTTTTGTTTTGCAAAACTTTCACCACAGTGTAAATGTTTGAGTTTTTTCTTTCTTGTTTTTGCTCTGTCGCGGAGTGGCCCGACTCCGGCTCAATAAAGTATTAATGTCTGATGAAGAATGAGTCTCACAGCGCTGGGCCATTGTCTCGTGGATCTCAAGAGGATCGAGCCAATGTCGTGAGTCAGGAGGCTCACCGGGGGAAGTGGAATAAGGACACTCGACTTTCACCCAGGAGGATCAGGGGCTGAATGGGTGCAGAGCTGCTATTATGCCTGGGGAAAATATTCCCATGCTGCTGCTGAGTTGCAAAACTAAACCTTCGACCAAGGGCGCAGTGCAAAAGAAAAAAGTTTCATGTTAAAATAAAGCGCAGAATTAAATCACGCGTTCTTAATGTTTCAAGATGATGTAAAATAAGATGAGATCTCTTTGATTTTAGTACAAATGAAAAAGCTCAGTCGTGTTTTTATTTTTTAAATCTGGTCCCTTTCATTTTGTCTGTTTGCTAAAATGACAGAAATATGCAAAGCGCTGTGATAAAAACGATAAAGGTTTAACTCTGATGAGGTGGCCCTACATACACATCTGCCTGTTCACCAGTGTAATTGCTCTCACAACAGATAGCATTCCATATTCAAATTCAAACCAGGAGTCTGATTAACAGCCATCATGAATGCAATAAAGCCAAAGACTTGAAAGGGAACGTTCAAATGGAAACAGTGAACCGTATCGTTTAGTTTTCATTTTGCCTCTCATCACCAACCAAACACTGAACAGCGCAGGGCTCTGCTCTGACTGACTGTCGACGAATAACGAGAACGGGATGTCAAAGCCTCCTTGGAGGGGTGAAAATCATCCAATCTGACGTGGCGAGAGACCGTGACAGCTTCACACCAGTCAGGTGAAAATCCCATCACTCTGTGGTGTCCCTGCTGTGAAGGCCTGCCAGAGCTCACAGTGGGGCTCACCTCAGAAACGGCGACCTTTGTAAAGTCTGTGCCTCGCAGCACAAACCTGGGCCCACATCTTTCGTGTGCCATGTGTTTACAACCCTGGTAGTGGGCTTTGAAGACGGGGCCCTTTCATCAAGCGACAGATGGGATGCACTTTTTGAAACATGTCATGTGGTCCTCCAGGAGCGCTCGGACTGCGCTTCAACCACGATGAGCTATGTGTTCGCGAAGCCACCGCACGATCATTCCCGAAATAAATACCATCACTATGGATGCGGTGACCTGAGCTTGGGGCATAAAACTCGCCTACATTATGGGTTAACCATCCAAAGGAGGAGTGGATTCCAGTAATGCAGCTAATCAAACGCATTGCAGGCCTGCCATATCATCAGAACATCATAAATATCAGAGCTAAACGAGTCCAGTTGTGGCACGGAAAAGAGCAAACACGCTCAACTACTTCTTTTTCTCTGCAGTGAGCACAAAACACTGTCACCAAAGATGGAAATGAGAAGATCAGGACAATTAACGATTTCATCACAAATGCCTTTTTTTATCCTCTCCCGCTTCACGTTATCCGAGCTATACTTGAACACAGAGCCGCAACCTACAGCTGCGAATTACAATATGTGTCTATAATCCATTAAAACGTCTCAGGATCTGTTCTGTTATTTACCGTCTACAGAGCAGCTGCAGGATTTGTCTCCTGACATCACCGCTACAGTCTGACTCGTCCCTGCTCGGCCAGTTCGAGCCATCAATTAAAACTGAGCTCGAAAACGAACAAATGTGGATTCTGTTTTTCGGGGCTTGAGTTCCCCCTTTAGAAAAAGAGACATTTTTCCCCGTGTCGAGGACAGTAGCGCCGCCTCGCACGGATCCTTAATCACTGCGTATGTGACGCCATCTCAGTGTCTGCAGAGGTGCTGCTGAAGAGGAGCAAAAGGTGCTGAGGGCAGGGGGGATTGAAGTGAACCCTGTGGGTGGGGAGATGACTTCAGCAGCTTGGGACGCGCCGTCTCTCCGCCCGCACCCCTCCTGGTAAACAGAAAACCCAAGAGCGATAGAAGAATCACAAGGACAGGCACCAGCCTGGCTGCAGGCCTCCAAACAGCACAATAGATAAATTGTGCAGATACATCTGGTTCTTATGAATATACCCCTTTAGATTGTGGTTGATGGAGGCGTGAGAGCACCAGAGCATCCTTATAAATGATCAAAGCCAACTTCTTCAAGGAATACAAAAGAATTTGAAATTGCGAGCTGTGTGCCCGTTGCTCTGTGGAAA